CATTAAGATTTTAAAAAATTTCCTCTTTTAAATTTGGCAAAATTATGAAATTCCCTTACACTATCAAAAAATACAAAAATCCCTCTTATTACCTCAAAATTATAAATGGCCCCAAGAAAAAAAAATAGGAATTTTTTTTAAGGTCCCCGATATTAAGATTTTATAAAATAAAGGACATATAATATTTTCATAGTAGTGAAGGTCGGTCAATATTTCTACAGAGAAAATTTGATTCAGAGAAATTTTGCACGACTTAGATAAATTTCACCCCGACTTAGAGAAATTTTAATTTTCATAGAGAAATTTCGAGATTTCTCTAAGGCAGGACCAAAATTTCTCTGAGTCGGGTGAAATTTCTCTGAGTTGGGCAAAATTTCTTTAAGTCGAATTTTCTGTGAAAATTTTGAGGGACCTTAGCTAATAAAAAAAATATCTTGCAACTCTCTTACTATACAAAGTTGTAGAGGATGTTTCACTAATTTTTCCATATTTTAAAATATATTTATGACATCATTAAAAATTAGTAATTGAGCTGATGATTTATTAATAAAGTTGTCGTTTGACAAAAACTTTTTTAGTTGACTTTTTTGAGTTGGGGCCTTTTTACCTTGGGACTAAAAAGTTCGTTTGGGTTTGCTTTTTTGACTTTTTTGACTTTTGTGAGAGAAAAAGTGAAATAATTATAATTTGAATGTGACATTTTGTCTTATTGACTTTTTAGCTTATTTTGTGTTTTAGTGGCTAATTTAGCCCCAACCTCTTTAGCCAATCGAAACTAAAGCAGATCATTACTATGCGAATAGAAATTTGAAAAGGTAAGATGTAATTTTCAAAATCACAGGGGATAATCTGTCTTTTATGTAAATGTCAAGGGATATATTTATAATTTATCTTATAATTTTTTGAGTTTTTATATAAAAAAACGCAATAAATTTTATAAATTTGGTATAGTTTATATGGGCACGTAGAGAAACTACAACGCTACTCTTTATTTTACTTATTTAACCACACAAACGGTTTATAGAGCCTTCCAAAACTCTCCATATGTAGCTAGCTTTGAAATTATTTGTTAAAATGATTTTTGTCGTAGCTAGTCCATTGGAGGAGGTAAAATAGGATAATGGTAGCTACAATATCCAACATGCCTCTCTCGATGCTTGTCATCTTCTTGTATCTTTAATTTCATGTTTTAATGATTTTTATTTTTTTGCTGATCAAAAAAATACCCAACATGCCTCTTTTAAAAAGCTCATTGTGGATGCTCTTAGGCTGAAGGTCCATTCTTGAAACGTTTTGGCCAATAGGCCCAACCTTAAACCTTGTTGGGCCATTATTTGACCAATGACACATGTCTGTTCAAATCTCAGCTATTTGTCTATCTGTTCAAAATGTTATCTATTTGTACACATATCACCTATCTATTCAAATGTTCACATATTTGTACACGTGTCACCTATTTATTCACCCATCTATTCAATGTCACCTATCTGTCTACTGCATCGCCACTAACCACAGGCTACTTTTTCCTATCAATTTTCCAAAGATTTTTCGACAACCAACATGCCTCTTTTAAAAAGCTCATTGTGGATGCTCTTAGGCTGAAGGTCCATTCTTGAAACTTTTTGGCCAATAGGCCCAACCTTAAACCTTGTTGGGCCATTATTTGACCAATGACACATGTCTGTTCAAATCTCAGCTATTTGTCTATACTGCATCGCCACTAACCATAGGCTACTTTTTCCTATCAATTTTCCAAAGATTTTTCGACAAAGACAGCTTTTCAACACATGTCCTTATCACCAAAAAAAGATTAAACCTTAGACTAAATAGCATGTGACCCCACAGGAATTGATTCTTCACCAATTAACTGTAGTTATGTTGACTTTTCTTTTAATAACATTAAAGAACAGTCGGAGTTTTGGCCGTTGATGCTGCTAGTTCCGGATTGATTGGACCGAACGTGATGTTGAAAATTTATCAGTCCAATGTGTTGAATTGGGTTAACCTAACTCTGGTCTGGTCTTTTCTGTATCTATTTAGTAGATTATTTAAATCTATTTAGTAGATTTTGTTATGAGCAGCAGTTAGGAGTGTTGCCTTTTAGGCGTGTACTGAGTTTCATTGTAAAATCTATTTTTTTGGAATATAGTTCTATGACTTACCCATCCAAAAAAAGATAAAAGGGAGGTGGCTAGGGAAAGCTTGATTTGATCAGATTGTGAGATTTTCTTTTATGTTAATAGGCCCAAGACTCCCAATGATGTTCCCACCCACATCTGGAAATGTTTCGCAACCAGGAATAGGCTTCACCTTTCCCATTTGATCAACTTCAACCGGGTACTTGAGAAGGTGACCCTTCATTTCTGTAACTTCATCGGCAGCATATTGTTTCCAGTTCAACTCGCTCAGTGATCTTACCCTCCTTACGCATTCAAGGCTCTCAGGATGCTTAAAAAATTCCTCAAGAGCACCGATATGCTCTGCCCACAGTGACATTCTATACCCATGGACCTGCAATCAGACAAAAATAGCAGCTGGTCACAAATTCATGTCGCTAAACATGCATAAATGAATACCAACTTGCATAAAAGTTCATGACTGAATACCAAGACTACCTATAAAAATCGACTTTGATTCATATATTTTTTTTTATTAAATTCCAAATTTATTAAAAAGTAAAGAATTGTAATACAAAATTTTGAAATACATTAAAATAACTATAGTCACTTTTTGAATCATGATTTTTTTTTTTAAAAAAAAAAATTTAATTATTGAAATACAAAATTACATATGTTATGATTATGTTATTGAATTGTATGCATCTTTAATCTCATAGAAATTTAATTACTAGTTTCATATAGCTGGCATGCTAGACACTCAGTTTTTATTGTTAAAATTATTACTTACTAAAAATGCATATATTCATACATGTAAGATGGAGGGGGAGGGGGAATAGATAAAAAATAAATCAATTATTTTGTGTATATGGGTCCAATGTGGGCTTTTGGGATGGTCTTATGGGTCGAGTTTTGGGTCAGGTCTCAAAACGCCCACCATGCCTAGAATTCATATTCTTTAGCCTAAGCCCAACTCATATGTTTTAGGGTTCAGTCGAGTCAAGCCAATGCAAGGTCGAAAATAATGAGCAAATTTCATTTGTACCCCTATACTTTCACACGATATTTAATGACACTCCCAGACTTCGAATAATTTCAATTTTATCCCTAAAGTTTTTGAAATCGTATCAATTTCGCTCCTGCCATCAAATTTGAAAAGGAAAAAGTTTAAAAAATTGCATTTTGGCACCAAATTTCAAATGATAGATGCAAACCCACCATCTCCTACCCAAACTCACCCTCTCTCATTTTACACCTCTACAATTCTACCAGCCACCACCACTGGTGGTGGTGGCTAACCCTCCTCATCCCTTCACTACTATAGAATTTATGGACTGAAGATGGGAGTTGTCTGGCCCATATTCTACTCTCCTCAGATCACCAAGACCCAGTTTCACCACCCTTATTTCTGTATCCCTCTTCCCTTTTCACAACAAAATCATCACCATCTTTTGAATACAAAACACATAGCACAAGTGTGAGCCCCCTTCTCTGCTCTCTCTCTCTGTCTCTCTCTCTCCTCTCTCTTTATACACACAAATATATTTATATATGTATATGTATATCGTGGATTGCAGATGGAGTTCTTCATATGCTTGTAAAGAGATTTACTACACATCATCTTCAATAGTAGAGGCTTCTTCAATTGGATCTTGCTCGTATAGGTCGGCGAACAAGAGAGAGGAGTTTGTGGTAGTGGGGGAGAATAAGAGCCCATATCAAGTTGCGTTTGATCGGAAAGCTTCTAGATCTAGATCTATTGGCTGTGGAAACATGAGCTTTTCCGAGGACTTTTTCGAGTGAATCTCAACTAGGCTTGGGGACTGTACTTTCGTGTGAGTCGAGTATCAGAGGGAAGGCAAGCCTACAGTCACCCATCTCCACCGTCGTGGTGGTGGATAGAATTGTATGAAAGAGAAAGTCAAATGTGGTAGGATTTTTAGTGGGTTCATGATCACTTCTTCATCTTCTCACTGGATTTCATCTTCAGCTAAAGAAAACAATCATATGAGTGGCAAGACGGCGACAACACCAATGGCGGTGAGATATCTTTCTCGTGGGAGGAGTAAGAGTTGGGGATGAGCATTTTTTAGCCCAATTAGCACTTTGAGTAAGCCTTCTTCAACTCGAAAGATAGAGGGTTCCAATAAGAACAGCACCAACACCAATAGTAACACTATTCTTTCTTTGTTGGCTGAGGAAGGCTAAAGATATGCTTTTTGAGTTTGCTCATTAGCTTAAACCTTTAAAGTAAACATTACAATCTTGTTTTACTTGTGTATTTCTCTCTATATCTCTCTTTTGTATTTGTCTGTGTTTTATGTTTGACTCATTAGTTATTTGGGAAGTTAATTTGCAATTTGAATTCACTCTGTGGTTACTGATAAAGAGATCTAATGGACCTGGACAACTCTCACCAATAGTCCATAAACCCTGCAATGGTTGAGGGAGGAGGAGGCCTAGCCGCCGCCGCCGATAGTGGTGGCCAACGAAGTTGTAGAGGTGTAAAGAGGAGAGATGGTTAGTTCGGGTATGAAAAGGTAGACTCACATTTATCATTTAAAATTTGGGGCCAAAATACAAATTTTTTTTTTAACTTTTTCCATTTCAAATTTGATGGCAGGGGCAAAATTGATACAATTTCAAAAACTATGGGAGTAAAATTGAAATTATTCGAAGTCTGTGAGTGTCATTGAAAATCGTGTGCAAGTATAGGGGTAAAAATGAAATTTGCTCAAAAATAATTGGAAGATTACAATAACCAAAAGTTTGATATGTGAGCCTAGAGAAATATCAACAGTGTCATCATTATATCAATAGGGAGCCTAGAAAAAGATCAAGAGAATGTCATCATTATATAAGGGAAGAGAGAGAGAGAGAGAGTACTACTAACAAACTTCATTATTGTAAAATCATAGGAAAACAATTTTAAGAATATCATCCACAACCAAGGCAATTATTAATTATTGCATCATATTTATTTAAAGTTTAACAAATAATAGATTCATAGGTTCTCCATTCTTTCTTTCTCTAGTTGCTGGGCCACCAAAATTGAGCTTGAAGATAGTCTACCACCTTCTTGTCCACTTGGAATGCCTTGGCAAGAACATCATCAGAAATCCTTGGATTTGACCCGAACACTGCATTAGCAACTGTGATGGTTCCGGGGTTTTGGCTACTTAGGGCAGCAAGAGCTACTGCATTAGTCTTTCCATTATTAAATTGAAAGTGAATGAGACCCTGTGGGAACACAAACACATCTCCTGGGTACAAAACCTTTGTGAAGAGACGGTTGTCGGTGTTGGAGGTCACGAAGCCGACGTAAAGAGTACCTTCCAAAACCACGATGACCTCAGTTGCACGAGGGTGTGTACGGGGTGGGTTGAGGCCATAAGGTGCAAAGTCGATGCGAGCTAA